CCGATACGGATATACAGCTCAAGAGCTTATTATATGACTTGGGAACTCTAATCACAACATCATTCAAGCGTTCAGACTCCCCCCAAATCTGTGTTCCCAAACAAGTTAAGCGCTTTTCCAACCGAATCACCGCGCAACAAGTTCTCTTCTGGAGGATACCAAGAGGTCGTTGAAGGGTAGGATGCTGAAGCTCAATCGACTCGCGCCATATAACTAGCAGTTTCCCACCATAATTAACTAACTGAATCGTTCGGTTATTATGAGCATGGTTGATATACAGATCAGCCAACCCTTCAACCATTAACCACATTCCGCAGCTTAAATCATACCACCAGTACTTATCACAATACTCATGAAACACTATATTATCTATAACGCACCAAGGTCCAGTTGTTATAAGTTGTAAACCCACAAACCCAAACTCTAGTACCCATCTTCCTTGTTTGGGATCATATGCAAACTTGTCGTTATTTTTTTGGGTAATAACGTATAGCCTTGCTCCTAAAACTAGGACTTGGTGACTGCCATTATCATCACTAGGACTAGCCAATGGGTTCCAAGTTTGAGTCTTTAGGTCAAAAACTTCAGCCCAATTCATGGGTTGCTCTCTCTTCCTGCATCCTCCTATTACGTATATCTTCCCGTCTAAAAGACAAGACTTTGCGTGTTTCCTTGCCACGGTCAGGTTAGGACCACGACGCCAAGTGTGAGTCCAACAATCAAGCACAAACACGGCTTTTGATCGCTTGTCCTTGACGGTTCCGCCGATTTGGTAGATTTCGGAACCGACGGCTACAATGGTCGAGTTTAATCGAGCATAACAAGAATCAGAGGAGGAGGGAGAGAGTTTTAAAGGTTGTAAACTTAACTCAGCCATGTTAATGGAGAGAGTGAACCAGCAATGACGATGGTTGGCTACGGGTAAACGTAGACATATATAGAGGCGAGGCTCGGTGGCTCCGATAAGGGAGAGAGTAGAAGCTCCTTGAGACTGAGCAGAGTGAAGGATATTGAGATTTGGAGATCCGGGCTAAGGAATTCACAACGATTTCATCTGGAAG